GGTCACTTACAAGTCACCGCTCCAAGCTCCCTCCCGGGATCGGCTACAATCTCAATACAAAATAGTAAACTAAACATGAGATTGTAGTCCATCCCGAGGGGGAGCTTGGAGCGGTGACTACTCTACAACCAACACAGGGACCATGGGGAACAGAAGTAGCCACCCTACAGAAGGAAGGACAATGTCCAGGGCTTGAAAAATTTTAGGGTGTCTCACTAGTCAGTCAAAAATTTTACCCGTCAGCATGACCAGACTATAGCTTTGCAATTTATGTTTTTTGGGGACAGATAGAGCTTTCTTTTGGAGGTATATAATCACCACTGGGAGGGGGGGGTTATTTTTTTTACTAAATAATGAAAAAAGTACCGTAAATGTAAAAAAAAGTTTCCTTACATTATGTTATAAAACATTTATTCTTACCCATATTTTTGGTAAAACATAAAAGTCGGGATCACGTCGGGTAAATAGACACCAAACATGTCAAGCCTTAAAATTGCGTGCGCCCGCAAAATTGCAAAAAACGTCCATAGGTGACGCTTTAAACGCTTTTACTGCTCATCAGTTTAGTGTTATCAGTGATTAATGTCTCTAAAATTATTGCTCTCACTCCGACGTTTGCGGCGATATGTAACATGTGCGGCACAATAGGCGCAATCGTCGTTTTCACTTAGGCGCCCCCGACGAATATCTGTGTGTGTATGTGGGGGGGGGGACTTAAAAAAATTGTTTTCTTTTTTCATTTTTTTTATGCTTCTTTAATTTTTGTATTACTTTTTTTTTTTTTACACACAACTTTATTGCTATTACATGGGGGGCTAAGAAGCCCCTTATGTGATAGCCAATTTACATGACAGGTCCTCTTTATGGAGACATCAGGGGTCTCGAAGACCCCTAATGTCACCTAGGGACCTCCAGAGAAGCTGATGAAGCAGAGATCGGCTTCATCAGCTTCTGTAGCTCTAGAGTGACACTGAATGCAGGAAGTGATGTAATATACATCACTTCCTGCATTCGGGGACTGAGAGGAGATCAACGGGAGTTCGTATACTGAACTCCCTTTGATCTCCTGTCACAGAGCCGTGCCGGTCCCGGCCGCATCGGGCACAGAAAATCTCGGGACCGACAACGGCAGTGACAGCTGCTAATACAAGCGATCCGGCGTCTCTAGAGACGTCGGATCGCTTGAAAGTAAGGCATGGAGCTATGGAAAGCAGAGGAATGAGCGGAAGGCCTGCATGACAAGGCTGGGAAGGGGAACGAGGATAGGAAAGGGTTAAGGAGTGATAGAAGAAAGGGTATAGAAAGGTCACTTACTTGATTGGTGGAAGGGGTGGTCCAGGAGGGGCTTCAGGAAAGTTAGCCAGGAAGGAGGTGTCCGGAAGGTCAGTTGGGAGTCCGGCAAGATAGGAAGAACTTCCCACCCACCCGCC